AGCTATTGAGCTCTCAAGCTAGGTCTTTTCTCTAGCTCCCAAGCTCTCAAGCTCTCAAGCTCTTAAGCTCTCAAACTTTCCATGCTTTCTTATTGAGCTATGCTCTCAGATCAAGCTCTCCAAGCTTTCTGATCGAGCAATGCTATCAGATCAAGCTCTCCATACTTTTTGATCGAGCTATGCTCTCAGATCAAGCTCTTCATGGTTTTTGATCGAGCTATGCTCTCAGATCAAGCTCTCTATGCTTTCTGATCGAGCAATGCTTCAGATCAAGCTTTCCATGCTTTCTAATCCAACAGTGCTCTCAAATCAAGCTCTCCATGTTTTTTGATCGAGCTATGCTCTCAGATCAAGCTCTCCGATCAAGCTCTCCAAGCTTTCTAATCAAGCAATGCACTCAGATCAAGCTCTCCAAGCTTTCTGATCAAGCTATGCTCTTAGATTAAGCTCTTCATGCTTTCTGATTGAGCTATGCTCTCAGATCAAGCTCTCCATGCTTTCTGATCGAGCTATGCTCTCAGATCAAGCTCTCCATGCTTTTTGATTGAGCTATGCTCTCAGATCAAGCTCTTCGCGCTTTCTAATTGAACTCCTCGCACTGTCAAATCGAGCTCTTTATGTTCAAAGATCGAGCTCTTTATGCTCCCTGATGAAGCTCATAAGCTCACTCATTTGTTTGAGATCACTTGTTCAAGATCTCTTAGATCGTGCTAGGCATAACTTAAGTTTTTTAGTTTGAGACTACAGCCTATAGTGCGTAGCCATCCAGATCAAATACATGAGTTTTTGAAGCGGGATTACGCACTCCAAAAACTGGGGGGCTATTGTTGTGCATGAAATCCAGAGAGGATAATTCCTTATATGAGAGAAGATATTTAGATTGGCTCAATTTGGAATAATGATATTTAGATTCCAACTAAGGTAGCTGAAGATCATGCAACTTCCTAATCCTTCATAGTTGAATCTTATCTCAACTCTATCATGTGAATGGGTGCTATATAAACCCATCATAACTTGTTTTCAGAGGGGCTGGGCAATTGCTCTAAGCAAATCTTTCTAGGAATTATACTATTCTTTGTAAGCTCTCAAAAACAATAAGATAACAATGGATGCAGGCTCAAGTTCTAACTTGTTAAACCACTTTAAAAATTATCTGGTGTTCTTATTTGTGACTCTTTCTTTTTTGTTCATTGTTAATTTTCATTAAATCACGCACACATCCATTCCGGTTCCGGCAGGGTCAATAGAAATTTTCTGCTTGGTGCAGATTTCTGTATCAACAAGTATATATATTTTATTTTTATAATAAAATATATATACTTAATTTAGATACCAAAATTATAATTGTGTTTAATTATGTTAAGTATAATGTAATATTTCTCTCAATTAATTATATGCATATATGATGTCCGTATTTTGGCAAAGATAATATCTGAAAGTCTAAATAGGTTTAAAATTGATGTTCCAAAAAATGTGTCTATTTTTATCATATCAACTTAATCAATTAAGAAAAATAATTTTAACATATATATAACTTTACACGATAATTTTCCAGTCGGAATCATATTCCAATATTATTGGATTAGATATATATAATTAATATCAAATTGTATTTACTAAGAGTCAGTTAATATATCATTTTCATCAACAACCCATTCAACTTTGGGTTTGTAATATTTTCTGGTAAACTTAAACAGTGAATTTTTTTAATTAAGAGGAGTCTTTAATGAATTCAACTGAAGTTTTGAGATATTATATATATACATATAGGCATATCGTCTTCATCAACAACCCACTCAACTTTGAGTTTGTAATATTTTCTAGTCAACTTAAACAGTGATTTTTTTAATTAAGAGGAGGCTTTAACGAATTCAACCGAAGTTTTGAGATATATATATATGGGACATATCATTTTCATCAACAACCCACTCAACTTTGGGTTTGTAATATTTTATGGTCAACTTAAACAGTGAATTTTTTAATTAAGAGGAGACTTTAACGAATTCAACTGAAGTTTTGAGATATATATATATGAGGGCATATCATTTTCATCAACAACCCACTCAACTTTGAGTTTGTAATATTTTCTAGTCAACTTAAACAGTGAATTTTTTAATTAAGAGGAGACTTTAACGTGTATGTATATATATATATATAAGGGCATATCATTTTCATCAACAACCCACTCAACTTTGGGTTTGTAATATTTTCTGGTCAACTTAAACAGTGAATTTTTTAATTAAGAGGAGACTAACGAATTCAAGTGATGTTTTGATATATATATATATTATATATATATATATATATTATATATAATATATATAATAATATATATATATATATATATATATAGGGTTTAGATCATATAATATTTTATTATATGAGATATTATATTAACGAAAAGATAGATCACCTTAAAGATTATTAGAAATGTTTAGAAAATATGTTTTGGTTAGTTCGAATAAATTAATGGATAATATATTTGGTTAGGAAGATAAATGAGTAGGTATGTTATATAAATAACTAAATTGTCATCCTTTTTAAATATTAACATAACAGTATTTTTTATCATTATTTTTGTTATTATTTTTTTAATCATTTCTTTTAACTCCTTACACTTGAAATTTTCCTAAAATACCCTAGTCATATAAAACTTTAATTTGTAGCAAAATCACCCCACCCATCCCAAGCCACTGCCCGCAGCCAGCCACCATCGTTGGCAGTCGACGGAATGGTGCACGACTAGCCGTGTATGGCTGGTCGTGCACTGGCAAAACCATTTTCAGCCATGGATCACAAATCCATGGCCGTTTCACAGCCAAAGATGTGGCCATAAAACGACAACAGATATGGTCGTGCTATTTCACGACCAAATCTTTGGCTGTAAAACGGCCATAGAAACGCCAGATCTGGGTGTTTCTAGCCATGGATCTATGATCCATGGCGGGAAAATGCCTTACCAATGCACGACTGGCTAGATCCCCCCGATCGTGCACGATTATGGTGACTAAAGTGAACGGCCGATGGTGGTGAGTAACGACCAGTGGTCTTGGGTGGCTAGGGGTATTTTGTTAACTTTTAAACTTTTTTGTGTCTTGGGTGTTTTAGCTAATTTATCAAATGTGGGTAGGATGGGCTAATTATTAGTTAGTAGACGTTTGAGGGCAATTGTGTCCGAAATGGCAAATTCAGGGCAAAATAGGTAAAAAATAAGATTACCCGGTAATGTTTTAATCCCAAGGAGGGAGGATATCAGATTACCCCCAATAGTACCAGTAGTAAATACTATTTACAATAAAAGATTCACATAATATTTTATTACTTGAAAACCAAACATCGGAATCTTGCAAAATAAACAAAGATTACCCCTGTTATCTTATATGCCCCTGATCCAAACGCACCCTACACACACACACACATATAAGAACTTGCCATTCCTCCCATTCGGACAGTTCAAGAACTTCTAAACTTTCAAGCCGAGGAAAATCATTTTCCCTACATATCATTTTCGTCCCATTGTAAGAATGAAACCGCAATTCAAGAGCTACCAAGTTCGCTAACTTCTCTAACTTTGGCATCGGATCATCCAGAAGATTTAAATTACTTAACGATAAGCATTCGAGATTCGGCGAGATGGCGTGCATGTCTGCTGGTAGTTCCTCTATCTTCCCCCCAATGTCAAATCCTGGCGCCGTGGACAGGGAGAAAGTGGTTACAGTGAAGTGAAAGAATGAACGCCGGACAGTTCTACCAATAAAACTCTAATGCTTTTCAGCTTGGCAATAGAGTCAAATATGAATGGTTCTTGTTCTTCTGTGTGAGAAATGATGGATGTGTAGCTCGCGAAGATTAATCAACTTTTCATGATTAACTTTACTCCAACTTTCATAGCTTACGAACTTCAGAGTCTGAAGGTTTGTCAAATTGTCTATTGGCAAAGGCCCTTCAAATGTTCCAATTAAATGCCTCAACTCCTGCAATTTGCCAATTCCAATAGGAAGCTTAAGGGGGGAATTGCGAGAGTATAAGTCCAGAGTTTGCAATTTTCGTAAGTTGACAATCAACGGTGGAAGATTTCTGATCTTTGTAATCCTTACCGTTAAATACTTTAAGTGGACCAACTGCCCAATCTCTTGGGGTAAGCTAGGACAATCAATTGATCCTCCATATTTCTCGACATGAAGAACTCTAAGCAACCTGAGTCTTGTATAGATAGCAGTTGATATTTGCGTGAACGAACCCCGATCTCGATCGTATGACGAGAGGGAAGGTGAGAGAGAATTACAATGTTGGAACGAAGAACTTGTTTCAGAATAAAAAACAAGTCTGTGAGATGATGATATTGGAGTTGGAGAGCAAGTAGGATGGTGAATTCCGTCGTAAATTGGAAAGAAATTCAGCTCTTTTGCCTTTTGAATTGCAAGATCCCGCAAAAGATCATGGATTCGTCATGTTTCAACCCTCCCCCTACATATGTTTTCAATTTGAATCAAGCTTCTATTGATCAACTCATCCAGATTGTTTTTTGCCAACTCTTCCATTACTCGATCATCATCTTCTCGTATAAAACCTTCCGCTACCAGTAATTGGATTGCTTTCTCTATGAAGATTTCAGAATCCGCAGGGAAAATCCCAAGATAAAGAAAGCATAGCTTCAATTGATAAGGCAAATCATTGAAGCTTAAAGTTAATAAGGAAAATATGTGAGTTGAATTATCAATTTTGTGTTAATTAGTTTATTTTATTAATCAACCGAAATTGGTTTATATAATACAGCAGTCCCTGACTATAAGGAAAATTACATGGAATAATCCCATTGACTTCGGGATTACAGAACAAGAAATTAAATCAACAAAATAAAAGGAAACTAAATCAAGATATACTAGGAAAGCAAATACAAAGAGATATGGAAAGTCAATATGAATCATTCCTTAAATGTTGCCAAAAGTGATCATGAACCGAGCGCCACTCTTGTGGTTTCTTTGCAGACAATAGGCCACCTAATACAACAATGGCAAGTGCAGACCGCCGCATTTTTCAACCATTTCTCTTCCTAGCTTTTCCAATTCTTCGTTTGAATTTGATTTTCGAAAAGCTTTCTCACAAAATAAGTTCCAAGACTCATCAAGCCTAAGAAAACGAAGTTTATGAACATGAATTCTCTCATCCGAACGCTCAGCTACTTCTTTGATGTGAGTCGTGATTATAACTCTGCTTCCATTGTTGCCATCCGGAAAGGCTCTTTTCAAACTCTCCCATGCTTCTTTCTGCCATACATCATCAATCACGGCCAAGTATGAGCATCCTTGTAAAGATTTATAGAGACACCTCTCCAAATCCTCTTCGCTTATCTTCTCTAACTCCACTCCGTTAATTTTTATCACAAAAGACTTTAAAATTCGTCGAAGAAGATTGTAATCTTGAGAGACACACACCCAAGCTCGAAGTTTGAATTTATTCAAGACATCAAGGTTGTGGTAAAGGTTTTTAGCGAGCCACAACAAGGAAAAAGGCTTTTCTTGATATAAAATTTGACAGAATTTCTTGACTTTTTAAAAAGGAGTCAAGAAGTCTTTTTCTTGACAATTTCTTGACCCGTTTTCAACTGTCAATCCTTGACCGTTTTAGCAAATCCTTGATTATTATTAACTATCAAGTATTTTGTAAAAATTAAATTATTCGATTTCATTCCTTGACTATTATAGTCTTAATCCTTGACAGATTTTAACTGTCAAAGATTTTGAAAAAATGAAATTCATTCCTTAATTGTTATATTCTTAATCTTGACCGTTAAAGTCAAGGATTTTGGAAAAATTAAATTTATCTCAACTGTTGTATTGTTAATCCTTGACAATGTTTAACTATCGAGAACTAAGTTAAAAAAAAAAAAACCCAAAACTCAAATCTGGCTGAGGCTTCTCGCCCGAAAATTTTACTAAGGCAAATTCTTTCCACCCAAAACGCCAAAGTTCATTGTTAAAAGCCATTTCCCCCCAAATTTCGACCAATTCAAACCTAGGGCAAGTAAAAAACTTCCGCCAAAATCCCAAATCTCTTCCACCCAAATCTCTCCCACCCAAATCTCCTCCACTAAGTTAATCAAATCCCGTAAACCCTAAATCTCTTCCACCAAATCACCCAAGTCTCTTCCACTAAATCGCCCAAATTTCTTCCATCACTTGTTTCTTCAGTTCTCGGTAGCAGCAATAAACAGTGAAATCGTCACTTCGCCACCTCCGTCGTCGCAAACCATCACCTGTAAGAATGTTGTTTTCTTCCTTGGATGAACATGTCTGCTGTCTTTGTTTTTATGTTTATAAACGTTACAGTTATTCCATCATTATATAGCCTTCTCATTCATAAACACATATTGCTTTTTACTATGATGTCCATATGTTAAATATGAATTGATTGGATCTGTAGTGTAAAACAACTTTTGCAATACATTGTTTTCACGTTCACTGGACAAACTCTTTGCTTGGGTGTTTGTGGTTTATACTGGCAGCAGCCCAACAGGCCTTCATTTATGCTTAAAAAATAGAAAACTTGATTAATATATAGTCATTTGGGACACTCTAAACAATAAAGTTGTACATTTTCATTTAGCAATTAATTAGGCATATTTAACACCAAAGAAGGTAAGGCATTATGATTAGTAAGCAGTGTAAAGGGAAAATGAAATGATTACGTGTGTTGTGTTACTGCACAATCACTATATAATATCAAACTCAGTTTGGTATGTAGTAGAACATTATTAATTGAGTTTGTCCTAGTTGCTATCAATTTGTTTTGATATAAGTAGTTACTGAATTTGTTACTCTAATGATATTTTGAATGTTGTTACTTTCAATTCTAGATACAATCTTTGAGGTTTATAGAATAGTAGATAAAGTACCATTTTGAAGTGCATTTGAACATGCTTTAGAAATTTTGCACTCAATTAGTTATAATAGCTAGAGATACCATGTTGTATTGATTTATAGTGAATGAAATGCTTTAGGTGAAATTAATGCTTCGTTTAAACAGAATGTCAAAAGAATATGAAGGAGAGGAAGAATTCTTAAGATTTGCTAAAACGAATTTCAAGGAAAGAGATGTCATTCCATGTTATCATGTTTAAGATTCAAACATGAACAATGACTTTACTCTATTAGATAATGTATGGATTAAACAAACCTCAATAACTTCACTCTATTAGAAAATGTTAAAATACATCACAAAAGCACACTCAATAAGAATCAAATAAAAATGAAAGATAATTTAGTTGCAGCGACATTCCAGCTCAAAATAGTTGTGTTTAAAGCTTTAACCAAGTCAAACAACAGTCTGCCCGTAATGTTCCACAATCCATTTAATGATAATTTATAAATTAAATTTTGTCAAAGACAATTTTAAGCAAGTAATAATGTTTGGTCTAGGGTTTACCATCATATTCAATGTGGACAAATCCTGGATTACGCAAAAACACGGTGCAATGATCCACATAAGATTCCATGTCCATGTATAAAATGTGCAAATATGTCTCATCAAACAATTCAAGATGTCCGTGGTCATTTGTTTGTGTCGGGTTTTGACAAAAGTTATAGGATTTGGGTTTTCCATGGAGAAGATGTTGATGACAATTACTCTAGGAACATCAATGATTCATATCCCAATGAATCAACATTTAAAGACTTTGATTTTACAAAGGATATGGTTCATGATGCTCACAAGTAATGCAAATAAGATTCAAATACATTGAAAACACTTCTAGATTATTGTGAAAAGCTATTGCATAATGGGTGTAAGTATAGTACACTTAGTGGGTTCATGAAATTCCAATACTTGAAAGGGAAATATGGTTCAACGTATGAGGCAAAGAAGGTCATGGCGGCATTAGGATTAGAATATGAGAAGATTCATGCATGTCAAAATGATTATATTCTATTTAAGAATGAATACAAGGATTTTTCCGAATGTCCATCTTGTGGTGCTTCACGTTGGAAGAAACAAGTCGGTAAATCATCAAGCAATTCCAAAGTTTCTTCCAAGGTTTTATGGTATTTTCCTCCTATCCCTAGGTTTAGAAGGATGTTTCAATCTCTACTTAACTTGGCATGCACATAACATTAAGAATGATGGTAAACTTCAACAACTAGTGGATTCACCCACTTGGAAACTTATTAATGATAAGTGGGCTGAATTTGGTTCGGAAAGTAGAAATCTTAGAATGGCTCTTTCGATGGATGGTTTCAATCCACATAGATCTCTAAGTTGTAAGTATAGTTACTGGCTGGTGATGCTTGTAACCTATAACCTCCCACCTCGGTTGTGCATAAAAAAGAAGTTCATAATGTTGACATTATTGATCTCGGGTCCACAACAACCCGGGAACAATATTGATGTATATTTGTCACCTGTAATCGAGGACTTAAAACAATTATGGGAAATCGATATTGAGACTTATGAGAGTTATAGGAAAGAGTATTTCATCTTAAAGGCAGTGTTACTATAGACCATAAATGACTTTCCCACATATTGAAACCTTTTCGGTTGTTGTGTTAAAGGTTATTATGCTTGCCCAATATGTGCAGAGGGTATGTCCTCTTGTAGATTGAAGAATTCGAGGAAGAATTGTTATATGGCTCATAGGAGATTCCTCCTTAAGAATCATTCATTTTGAAAAGGAAAAAAAATAAAAAATAAAAAATAAATAAATAACTTGAAGGCTCAAGTGTTTGGTTCTCCTAATGACCCTTTGAGTGGGATAGAATTGTTGAGACAACTTGAAGGCATTGAAAATGTATGGGGAAAGAACTTCCCGAAGAAACGTAATTTATGTGAAGATGACAAACATAAACTATGGAAAAAGAAATCCATATTCTTTGAACTTGAAAATTGGAAACATTTGTATGTTCGTCATCAACTAGATGTCATGCACATTGAAAAAAAATGTGTGAAAGCATTTATGGTAAATTGTTGAATATATCGGGGAAAACGAAAGATGGGTTTAACACACAATGAGATCTTTGTGATATGGGGATTAGGAAAGAAATAGAACCACAAGTTCAAGGGAAATGTGCTTGGTTACCTCCGGCATGTTACACTATGAATAAAGTGGAGAAACAAAAGTTTTGTGAAACCTTAGCAAATCTTAAAGTACCCTTAGGGTATTCTTCAAACATAAAGAACCTTGTCTCGATGGATGATTTAAAGATTCATGGTTTGAAATCTAATGATTGTCATGTACTTACACAACAATTGTTACCGTTAGCCATTAGAGCTCTTTTGCCCAAGAACGTAAGATATGTTATCATTAGGTTATGCTTCTTCTTTAATGCACTATGTAGTAAGGTTGTTGATGTGGGCAAGTTAACCAAGATACAAAGTGATGTTGTTGTGACAGTGTGCTTGTTAGAGAAATATTTCCCTCCTTCATTCTTTGATATCATGATACATTTGACAGTGCATCTCATTGGAGAAGTTAGGCTATGTGGACTTGTTTGCTTTACATGGATGTATCCTTTTGAGAGGTATATGAAAACATTAAGGTTATGTGAGGAACCATAATTGGCATGAGGGATGCATTACAAAGTGTTATGTAGCAGAAGAAGCGTTAGAGTTTTGCTCAGATTACATGGACAATGTCAAACCAATTGGTGATCCAAATGCTTTTGTTGACAAATTAACATGTTTTGGCAAGCCTTTATCGAGTGGTCAATCGACACTTGTGGATAGTCAAATATTAGAGTAAGCACATCTCTATGTGTTGCTGAATAAAGTTAAAGTTGAGCCTTATATTGAGTAATCTCATTTCAATTTCTTTGTATAGTTCAATTCATTGTGATAAGTAATTCAATTTCATTTATATAGGGAACATATGGAAATATTAAAGAAACAACATCACCATCAATCTAGGAACCCAAAATGGTTACAAGGTCAACACATTTGCACCTTTGCACATTGGCTAAAAGATAAGGTGGATCAAGCTTCCCCATTTTTTCAGTCTTCTTTAACCAATTTATGCCACTTTGTGACATTGACTACTTATTAAATAGGTTTTAATTTCTTTGGCCAATGGTGATGAGATATCAAACACTTTGCATTGGCTAGCACAAGGAACTCGCCTTTCGTTATAAAGTTCTCGGGTTATGTTATTAATAAATTTCAATTCCACACACAAGCCCATGATATTGATAGAGTTACACAAGCTAAGGATAAGAATCCCATATACAGTGATGTATCATTCTATGGAGTTATAGATGAAATATGAGAACTTGACTATCACATGTTTAATCTGCCCGTATTCAAGTGTGATTGGCTCAATAGTAATGGTGGGGTGAAAGTAGATGATCTGGGTTTTACATAGTAAATACAAATAGATTAGGTCATAAATCCGATCCTTTCATATTGGCTTCTCAAGCTAAACAAGTTTTTTACATAGCAGGCCAATTAGATGAAAATTGAGCTGTTGTTTCGGTGATGCCAAAGAGAATGTACAAATCGGATTTGAATAATGAGATTGATGATCACATGCAATTTGAAAGCCCAGTTGATGCACAAGCTTCTTTATTTATTGATGGGGGTGATAACGATGATTTTTTGTATACACGCTCGGATGCCGAGGGCATTTGGGTTGAATAAATTCTGCTAATTTCTAAATTTTTGATAAGGTATTCAATTCATTTGTTCATGCATCGCATTGTTTTAATTTCTTATAAATGAATTGAATTGTTTTAATTTCTTATAATTTCAGTTATTGCATTGTACTAATATTTACAACTTTGAAATTTTCAAGTTTTTGAAGACTTTTTGGACATGCTTTTTTGTAAGAATTTTGTTTGACATGGATCTGCCAAAAGAAGACATTTCAAATGAAAATGAAGGTGAAGGCAACCCTAAATGTGAAGATGCAAAACCAGAGAGGAAAACAGAGGGGCCCAACAAAGAAAGGCAAGCCTAAAACAAAACTAACAATAAAATGTAACAAAATAGGTGTTCCTATTGGACCCGAGGCTACAGAGTTAGCCACATTTGAAGGGATGGTAGCTCGAACTATGGTTCCTATTATTTATGATGTCTGGTGACATGTGTTAGAAGACTTGAAGAGAAAAATATGGGATTTTGTGTGTGTAAGTTACTAAAACTTTTACCTAAATCGAAATAATACAATGATTATATGTCATGAATGTTAATGCTTACTATTTTTCAGGAACATTTTGGGGTCAACCCTAAGAGTTGAAAGAAAACACTTCAAGACAATGGAGTGAAGTGGAGCTTGTTCAAATATACCCTAAAAAAGAATTTTGTTATTCCCTTTGCGAATAAAAGTGGTAAATTGGTGAGACCTCCACCATAGTACAACTTCATCAAGAAGAGTCACTGGGAAGAATTTGTGGCTAAGCGATCATCGAAAAACATTCAGGTGAACTTTTTCAAACAGTTGTACTGCTTCAATAAATTTATCTAACTATTTGGATGTCATAAACCATTGTATTTATTTGGGTAGACATTGAGCACTAAGCAAAAGGAAAAATGAGCCAAGAACAAATACAACGATAGATTGTTCGGAAGGGATACGCTAATCTGATTGAAGAAATTGTAAGCATTTTAAACTTTTATGTTATCTGAAACATTGTATTATTACATGACTAATATGTGTTTGTTAATATGCATGTTTTGTGATCAATTTTCATTAGAAACAAGAGATCGGGTTGACTGAAGAGGAAATTAATGGAAGCTTGACATGGAAATTGGCTAGAAAAAGAAAAGGTGATGGTTATGACTCAGAAGTGGCTCACATAGTGGAGAAGATTGTAATTGAGGAATTATGTTATCATACAATATAATATACTTTTGTTTGTGGGCTTCAGAAACAAGCTTAATTCTTATTTCTTATTTGTAGAGTGACCTTGAAACTAAGGCAAAGATTGGCTTGTTGGAAACAGATAACAAAAATGACATCCTCAGTCAAGCATTGGGCACCAATAAACATCTAGGGTTAGTACGAGGTATGGGGAAATTTATCACCCATGGGGTATACTTTGAGATTCCAAAAAATGTTAGAGATATGATGACAAGGGAAAGAGATGAATTTATTAAGAGGTTTAATGCCTTAGAGGAGAGATTGGAGAAAATGTCCAATTAATTGAATAATAGGAGTTTGATGTCTGACGTAGGAAGCAATCATCAGCCATTGAAAGGCAATGCTTTATTGGCCAAATCGGTCGCAGTGGTAAGATCAAAATCTTTGGTTAACAATATATAAGTGTTGTCATGTTTATTTAACATTAATTTTTGGCCACTCTATTATTGTAGGATAATACTTGTTACCTTGTCGTAGATTCCCCAGCCAACATTGTGGCGAAGGGGACTATTATAGAATATGAAGGTCCCAACGTATGGGTGACCATTGATGTGGTGTTTGATGGAAGCCCATCTCTTTCATTCCTAGATGATGAAGAATTTTTGGTGAAGGTAAGCGATGCGATTGGCCATCGTCTACTTTGGCCAGAGGAACTTGTATTACAAGAAGCTGACATGGTGAAGACTACAATCATCAAGTAACTTGTTCCAAATTAGTTGTGTTTTATTCATAATATTATGTTTTAATAGTGATTTGTTTTTTAATGTCTATTAGGTTTCTAAGAAACTTTAGAAGAAGTATACAACTCCAGAAAAAGTGGCTAAGAAATCAAAATCTATGTACAACAAGGCAAATTATGATATGGAGATTGAGGACATTGACTCGTTGGGTAATGAATTAGCAATCACACTTGTTAAGTTAGAGCCTAAATAAATGAAGTTGGACAAGAAGCACACAAGTCCTTGCAAGAGAAAGGTTGATGTGACACCATTAAGAAAGAAGAAAACACGACAGTCAATGTTGTTTGAGAGACAGTGTGTAGAACAATCCTTCTCTGAAGATGTTCTCAACAATGGTTAATCGTCTTCTACCCGATAGGCAAACAGATGACAACCTGTTCGGGTATGATAGCTATACTTACGTATCTAAGAAGGATTTTGAAAGAGTGTTTGATATGGAGGAGTTGACAGCCTTATGCATCACACTTTATATAATGTAAGTTGTTTGCTTATAATAGTGATTATGATTTAATCTTCATTGGGTTTTACAGTGCATATTGTTGTAATTTTGGTATTTTTTGAAGTAGGGCAAGGCTTTATATGAGAAGCTAAAGGGTAATGGGGGCAATCTAAATGAAATTGGTTTCATGAGCCCTAACTCATTTTCAATAGCAGGCAGCACTAATGTCACGAGAAGAAGAACCCAAAGGGCATAGTTGCTTGCCAATCGATTGGCAAGTGTGAAGAACAAGAATTTAATTATAGTGTCATAAAACCCAGGATTAGTAATTCATTGATTTCCTTACTTTTAATCTTGTTTGAATAATCTATTTTTAAGATTTAAAAACAATGTTTGTCCTAATTTGTTTATTTGCGATCTGGAGAGTTTCCGTTTTTGTTATTTGGTTATGACAGACCCCTAAGGCTATTAATAGACCTCCCATTAAGAAGGTGTATCAATATAAAGGGCATAAGGGTAAAAAGGTGTGAGAGTGCATGTGTGTTAGTGGAGGGTGGTTAGGTGTTATTTGCATGTGAAGAATCAAGTGGTTAGTGGAAGGAATTGCTGGGACTATAGTCTGTTACTTTCCCTTTGTTGTTGATAATTGTTCTTATGAATTGTCATTTCCATTCACTTAATACAATACAGATCTTTTTCTAGTTATTACTTTGCTCTCTTTTTCTGCATTTTTGCCTATCATGTTGCTGGGTTGGCATAACCATGTATTGCAAGAGAATCACTGTGTGGAGGAGCTGTTGAATTGTCTATCTGCACTACATAATTATGTACAAATAATTTCCACCTGCTATGTCAACACTTTTACAGTCTACATCTGTAAGATAATTCAATTCTACAACTGTGCATGCTTTTAGAAATGCCCTTATTAAAAATGATCGCATCTCTTCTGTCATTTTATGTCTAAGGTGACATTGTCATGAGTGTAAGTATCTGCATAAGGTTATTTGAATTCAGTTGTGTTTGCCAATTTGTACTATTTTATTGAGGGTTTAAACATTCAAGCAGTAGTTGTGTTTGAAGGGATATTGTAATTAGTTGTTTTGTTTCTGCCAATTTTTGTTTGGAGGTATTATTTTTTCACATATTCATTATTCTTGCTAGAGGCAATCATCAAGGTGAATGAACTGAAATGTTGGAATTCTGCTTGTTATCCACTCTTCAACCACAACGATCTGTTTTTATTGCAAATTTTATGTCATGAATCATGATTTGGCTTGTATTGAGTTTGTACTTTTTATAGCTGTATAGTTGTGTAGTTGCTGGCGCCTGCATCTGTTCAACAATCTTGTATATTCTACAGCATTGAATGTAAGCATTGTCACAAGCCTCGTTAAAATAAATGCCAAAGCCTTTCAATTTAAATCTGTGGGCTGTAGAACAGGTCATTGTGTTTGAAAATGAGGTTGAATTTATTTTTATTGATATCTTGTTTCCCCTGATCTTATAGTGGACTTTTTATGACACGACCCGTCCGAATTTCCTCATCTCGTAGGATCTGGGCGCTCCCACAAGACTTGGATACTCGAGATGTGCCATGTAGAAAAACTGTGAAACCTATTGGAAGACTTACTTTTCTTGAATAACATCATAGTATTTTCATTTCCAATATCTCAAAAAAAAGACAGGTATCCTCCTGCGTTTTACAAAAGAAAAGAGTTAAGGAAAAGTTGTGGTATCAGAGTTTCCACTTATACAACACGTTCCAAAACATAAACAAAAGGAAATACAAGATGGAAAACATGAGTTTTCTTTTGAAACGAAAGTCCAAAAATGCAATACGACATAAATGTGAAACCCACATAAAACGATGTCGATGCGTGGCACAACCTTGAGCGGTGACTCATTGCTCGGCACGATCTCCCTGTAAACCTGAGGGAGGGAGGAAAACATTGGTTTAAAAAGGGGTGAGCTGAAATACTCAATGAGTGGGGGAAAAGGGGAAGTTTGCAAAACATTTGTCAAACAAAAGTTATGGCATGCAATGGTTCTTATGAAATATTGAAAACAACATGATTCTATGAACATGATATGGTGGTAGCTAATCATTCATGTATGCATGCATAACTCATTTCTAATTGTTCTAAGTATTATAATCTGATCAATTAAACTGACAACAATTTCTGAATCTTAGCTCATCACTAAATGTTGAAAACTCTTTTATGAGAACTTAAACAATAGCTGTAAATGCTTATGCTTCTAAAGACAATGTTTTCTATAAATCATGGTACAAACATCAATGTTTCTTATAACTAATGCAAACTATCCTCAGATACTGAAAATTGAAACTATTAACTGACATTGAAAACTGTAGGCTGGTATCTGAAAACTTTAAACCGATATCCTGTTCTGAAACAGTAAACTGATACTAAAGGTTCTCATGCATGTGATTATGAAAATAATAACTCTACTAGTGATGCTGCAAACATCCAAACCATCATTCAATGAACACTCATGATTCACAAAACAAAATCTAGTAACTAAATTTATAACTATTGTGATGATATAAAATTGAAAACTGATTTTTTTGAAACTATGCACTGATAACTGATTTTGGAATACTGTAAACTTTATGTTGATAATTGAACTTTAAACTGAATACTGTAGCTTTTACTGATACTGAAAACTCTAAGCTGATATCTTATTTCGAAACTGTGGCTAATACTGAAAGTTCTCTTAATATATGAAAACTCATATTGAGACTGTCGCTCATAATTGATACTAAAAACTGAATGTGATTTTGAGCATTCTAAAACTAATTATGATATTAATACAGAAAACTCTCACCGCAACGAGTACCCTGGGGAAAAATCTCGATACTTGGTGGGCATCCCACACACAGGCAGAGCTGGGAAAAACATCTCAATACCCGGCAAGATCTATCATCGCGTGGGTAGAGCCTAAAGAAAACCACATCAATACCTGGCAGACAAGCTCAACGCCTAGGTAGAGCACTAAATATCTCAATACGCATGCGCAGAGCCTGAAGACCGAATATCTCAAGACCCAGCGGATCCTGCATTGCATGGGCAGAGCCTGAAACTGGGGGATAGGTACTTCGTAGGTGGTTGTAGCACCACAACAATCTCATGCATGATCTCAAGTAACATGTAAGTCAAGAGCATATTATATATGTGCTTATAAATTATACATATATGACATAATATTCAAAAATCGCATATAGGGGTGAAACTATAATTTTCTAAACATGTTTCAGAAACTGACGGTTTAACCCAGATTAAAAATTACTTCAACATCACATGATCTTAGCATATGTCCGATACAAATCATAAGCAAATATCAATTTTAAAAGTCAAAACTCGTATAACACATTATAATTATAATTAAACCCAAGAGCAAAAATAATAATAATAATATATGAATATTTCCCATAAGGATAAATCACGCCAACATATGAGATTTCATGGAAAATGGAGGGTCAAATGCAAGTTTTTAAAATATACTTTCAAAACTGACGAAAAACACCCCATTTTCCCTTTTTATCGAGAAGATTATTTACCACATCATATATATATAAAACCTCACATGCATAACTCAACACACCATCTAAATAATCAGATCTGTAAGTTTCCAATTTAATTTTCCAGTCAAGCCAAAAAGTTTTTATATAAAGTTTATATATATATAAACTTTTTGGCTTGACTGGAAAATTAAATTGGAAACTTACAGATCTGATTATTATATATATAATCCCAGCCACCTTTACCTGGATAATTTGGCCAAAAATGCAGTCCAGAACCATGTAATTCCAGCCTCCAATTCATGTTTTTATTCAACAAAAATGCAATTCATAAACGCGTATAAAACCAGCCACCACTACATGTATAATTTTGGCCGACATAAAATTCATAAACACATGGAATCCAAGCCATCATTGATGCATCATATAACACATAACCAAAGAAATCCCATTCAAACAATAAAATGAAAAACACAACTTACACATGCAGACATGAATTAAGCATTTGGATGCAATGTATCTCCATGCATGTAAAATCTTTCATATCTTAGAAACAAAACTCAACAATTAACACATGCACACTTGGAAATATTGAGAAAAAGGTTTGATTTTTGCCACTCACTCTTCTAATCCTATAATTGACTGCCTATTACAGTGCTTGGAATTCGATCTTCACCGTTCAGAATGTAGAGTTGTGTTTCATGAACAACATATCCAAAAATTAGAACGATCGGACGGCAAACGAGCTCCAGATCACGAATTGATGATTCAGTGTTCACAGACTCAAAAACTAATATATCCTCTCCCTTTCTTTTTGTTTTTGTTTTTTTTTTCTTCCTCTCTCACTCTATCTCTCGGCTGAACCCATCTTTCTTCTATTCTCCTCTTTCTTTTTATTTTTCTCATTTCTCTCCTCTCTTCTTCTCCTCCTCCTCTCTTTCTCCTTTCCTTTCTTTTTTTCTGCTCTCGTTTTNCCCTAAATTAACTAAAATAGTTATTTAAATGTCTGAAATTTCAAAACACCCATTCAATCCCTAAAATTATGAAAACATTGCATCTTCACCCCTCTACACCGCCATACTATCGCTATTGGCGTTAAAGTGATGATTCCGGTCAATTTTCTCACCAAAATCGATTGGATTCATCACTTAATCATTTCCCAAATGTTTTCCCAATCTTAATAACCCCCAATTTGGTCAATTTTTGTTGATTTTTGCAACCCATTTTTATTCTTCACCGCGTGCGATAGCCATTTCTGGCACGTATCCGCTGTCATTGATCTTCCTCGACACCACCATCTTCGTCCCCTCAGCCCCCTCTCCAAAACCCCTCACTTACTTGATCCTAGTAGCTTGCCAGTCACCGTCCACCTCTCGCCCTCATAAGAAAGATTAGGTAATTTGTCTATATTATGAATTGAAAAATATTTGGTTTCTAAACTTGAATATAAAAATTTAATTAGTGATTTTGCATCTCAAAAGGCAAGAAAAATAAATTTGAAATAATTTTTTAATAAATGCTTATATTATTAAAAAGGCCCCAAAGTAACTCTTGCCTAGGGTCACAAATGTTCTTGAGACGGCCATGCTCTCCTCTCTTCTTCTCCTCCTTCTCTCTTTCTCCTTTCCTTTCTTTCTTCTGATCTCGTTTTCTTCTTCATTTGGGTGAACTGCCATATTTTTTTTTTTTTTTTTTTATCTTTTAAACAAAAACAATTTTTCTGAAATTATTTCTGCCCCTAAAAAATCTCTAAATTTCAGTCTAACCCCGCCACCTAAGCTTCTCCTAGCAAAAATGTCCAGATTTTTCTCTCTTGATACATGCAAACCCATTAGAATTTATTTCTTTGTTTTCACCCCTTAACGTAACTTTAAAAACTGACAAAAATACTCATGTCTTACAACAAATACCAAAAACCAATTAGAAAGAGAATTAATTAACTAAATTAGGAAATAAGGTTTTACATTTTATGCCTCGTATAAATTATTGGTAGCAAATGTTGTATTGATAGCTTTTTGCTTTGCTTTCTTAGTGAAAAATCTGCATAAATATGACT